TAGTGTTGCTCAACCTACTTAAACCAGTGGCACACTAAAACAGGAACTTGTTTCGCTGCCCAACTGAAAGCTTACCAAGCACACAAACAAAAACAGATCAAGATAGCAGTCATTTTAGTTAAAATATCTGTTCACTGGAATATAGGATTTCCAAATAAAGTCTGTCCCTAGGGCGATCCTCCAATAGAGGGCCTTTTATAACTTTCCCAAACTACCATTGACTTGCTGGCCCCTTCCAGTGAGTTTGGATCTGCAAAACTTAACAGTTTGAGTTCACAAGTGCAGCCAAACCAAAATTATTAAAAGGCTAAACAACTTATACATCAGCCTGTAACATACCAGTATCTGCTGTGCTCAGAAATAAGATCATCTACGCAGTTGAGTGGGGTTTCTGGAATATGTACAACGTTGATTTTCACCCTTGATGTGCTATAGACGACAATCCACCCTTGATGTGCTATAGACACAATCCACCCTTGATGTGCTATAGGCGACAATCCACCCTTGATGTGCTATAGACCACAATCCACCCTGGATGTGCTATAGGCAACAATCCACCCTGGATGTGCTATAGGCAACAATCCACCCTTGATGTGCTATAGACAACAATCCACCCTTGATGTGCTATAGACGACAATCCACCCTTGATGTGCTACAGACAACAATCCACCCTTGATGTGCAACAGACGACAATCCACCCTTGATGTGCATCAGACGACAATCCACCCTTGATGTGCAACAGATGACAATCCCCCCTTGATGTGCATCAGACGACAATCCACCCTTGATGTACTATAGACGACAATCCACCCTTGATGTGCTATTGATGACAATCCACCCTTGATGTGCATCAGACGACAATCCACCCTTGATGTGCTATAGACGACAATCCACCCTTGATGTGCTATAGACGACAATCCACCCTTGATGTGCTATAGACGACAATCCACCCTTGATGTGCAACAGACGACAATCGTAGAAGAGGAAAAACTTGTTGGCGGTCGACCTTAATTTGTCTGCTGCCCAGCAGTTTAAAAACACTGTGTTCAGGCAGAGTACAATCTACAAAACTATGCCGAGGACAATAAAAACTATTCCTGTACACTTGTCACAGACCCGCAGATTCCTCTTCTTCTAAAGCTTTACGACATTTCCTTCTCCCCAAACTGTTGGTATTTTTTACTTTTCAGCCTCCCAGGTATTGCCGAATAATTTATACAGTGATTTAGTAAAGACCAGCCAGCCGGGAGTGTCAACAAATTCTGTAGCTGCAGCGATGACCTCCAGAGATCTTTGTAACAAAATGGTTTCAATAGATTCTGCTCGGAAACCAGTTGAACTTGCAACTTTCCCATCCTTCAGAAGTCTGCTAAGCTTTTTAATTTCTCCTTTAGGTGACTTCTATGAAAAGCACACAGTGTACATGGCTATAATGTATCCACTTTGGTGGCATTTTGCCCCACAGAAACACAATAAACTTTAACAATGTAATTAAACACACAGGACACAGCCAGTCGAACATTTCCATCCAGTAAAATTTATTGTGTCAAGAGTCAGCATGATATGCTGGACAGAAAATCATCCTAACAGCAATTACAACCACTACAGCTCTCTGCCCCACAGGGAGCATAAAGTTCTGCCAGCAATGGTGAAATAATACAATACATTTGATAAACAATTTGAAATGTTTTTAACTACAGACATGATCAAATGTTATTCAGCATTTTGATCTCTTTAACATAATCAAAGCTGAACAATTCTGTGACTTAAACAATCAAAGCGCTGAACAATATAATTTCTCTCCAGCATAATCAAAATCAAACAATTCATGTCTCCAACAATCAAAGCTGAACTACCTCTTATCCCCCAAAATAAAGATGAACAATCTGTTATTCCACCCCCCCCCCCCCCCCCCCCCCCCCCCCCCCCCCCCCCCCCCCCCCCCACAACAACAACAACAAATCAATGATGAATTATAAACATACTCAAGGTGAACTTAAGTCTGGAACACAACCAAAGTCCAGAAATGGTCAAACAGCCAGAACTTTCCTCCCAGACCTTACAGCCAAGAAAAACTAAAAAAACACACATTCTCACATCTCTAACATAATCAAAGTTGAACAATCCTATTTCTAACAATCACAGCTGAGCAACCTCCTGTCTGTAAAACAAAAGTTGTACAATCCCATCGCTAACAAACAAAGTTGTACAATCTTATCTCTAACGATCAAAGCTGAATGACCTTTCCCTAGCACAAAAGCTGAAGTGAAGGCATCAGCAATGGCAGCTGAATATGGCGACTTTATTCAGCGACAACAAACTCATCGTGTTCATGTGGCTTCTGTACCCACTGGCCCAGGTTTGCTTGCTGGAATGCCTGGAACAATGCCTGTTTGGTCAGCTGGTACTCCATGACTGCTGCCTTGGCTTCTGAGTACAACCTGCAAAACAAACACAGCAAATGAGGCTGATCTATGGACTATCTGCAACACAGAAACATCAAAAAGGCTGATCTATGGACTATCTGCAACACAGAAACATCAAATAAGGCTGATCTATGGACTATCTGCAACACAGAAACATCAAATGAGGCTGATCTATGGACTATCTGCAACATAGAAACATCAAATGAGGCTGATCTATGGACAGTCTGCAACACAGAAACATAAAAAGAGGCTGATCTATGGACTATCTGCAACATAGAAACATCAAATAAGGCTGATCTATGGACAGTCTGCAACACAGAAACATAAAATGAAGCTGATCTATGGACTATCTTGAAACATAGAAACAGCAAATAAGGCTGATCTATAGACTATCTTGAAACATAGAAACAGCAAATGAGGCTGATCTATGGACAGTCTGCAACACAGAGACAACTAATGAGGCTGATCTAAGAAGAACAGTTTACAACACAAATAAACGTCACATTGGGCTGATTTAAGGACTTCCTGTAATACAGAGAACACAAACTAGACTAATTTAAGGACTTCCTGTAATACAGAGAACACAATCTAGACTAATTTAAGGACTTCCTGTAATACAGAGAACACAATCTAGACTAATTTAAGGACTTCCTGTAAGAGAACACAATCTAGTAATACAGGAGAATACATAAACTAGACTAATTTAAGGACTTCCTGTAATACAGAGAACACAATCTAGACTAATTTAAGGACTTCCTGTAATACAGAGAACACAAACTAGACTAATTTAAGGACTTCCTGTAATACAGAGAACACAAACTAGACTAATTTAAGGACTTCCTGTAATACAGAGAACACAAACTAGACTAATTTAAGGACTTCCTGTAATACAGAGAACACAAACTAGACTAATTTAAGGACTTCCTGTAATACAGAGAACACAAACTAGACTAATTTAAGGACAATTTGCAGAAAACAAATACTGCAAATGAGGCTGTTATGATTTAAGACAAGTCTACAAACAAATAAGGCTGATATGAAGACAACCTGCAAGGTCAAATGCGTCCTCAAGATAAAAACACAAAGACAGTACTTTAGTACCAGGCCAAGATGAAAGTCTGCACTGCAAGCTAACTCTGATAGATGCAAGCTCTTGTCAAGGCTTAAACCTGAATGCCAACAGAACTGACTGGAGAATTTAAATGCAACACTTTCCCTGAGGATGGCCCAATCAGCCAGACAACCTACCACCAATTAGTCAAGCCAGCTAATTAACCAATCCACCAGCTATCCAACCAATTAGTCAAGCCAGCTAATTAACCAATCCACCAGCTATCCAACCAATTAGTCAAGCCAGCTAATTAACCAATCCACCAGCTATCCAATCAATTAGTCAAGCCAGCTAATTAACCAATCCACCAGCTATCCAATCAATCAGCCAGCCATCCATTCAACCAACAAACCACAGCTGGCCACTCAATGAATCAACCAACCAATCAGCCAGTCATTCAGTGAACCAACCAAAGCTAACCACTCAATCAACCAACCAACCAATCAGCCAGTCATTCAATAAACTAACTAACCACAGTTGGCCACTCAATAAATCAACCGACCAATCATTTAATCAACCAACCAACCACAGCTGGCCACTGATTGAACCAACCAACCAATCAGCAAGTCGTTCAATCAACCAACCAACCAATCAGCTGGACATCCAATAAACCAATCTTCTAACCAGCCAGCAATCCAACCAAACAATCAATCAGCCAGCCAACAATCTAAGATAAAATTTACTATCCAAACCTCAACGAATTTCTGTCTGTCTGTCTGTCTTTCTTTCAGCGACTTTCATCTAATTTAAAGTGTCTTCAGAACCTCTGTAATTGATTGTTTTTTTACTACCCCACATCACAAAAAGATCAATGAAAACAAAACTGAAACAAACAACAAAACTCCTGGTCCACTGCACACACTGTTGAATTGTTCTGGTCTGAATCAAGTAAGGGAATTTAAATATCCAGGGAGTGAATTAAGAGAAGATGGTAGAACTCACTAATAGAAACCTGGACGCCAGAAAGCAAGTGCACTTACATACCAACTGTCACCATTATTAACACATCCAAACAAAACTGAGTGCACAGAAACACATAGCATATTCATTCCAACACTGAGCTACAAGTGTCAAATATGGACATTAACTAAGGCCAATTATGCCAAAAAAAATCACTATCTGCGAGATCAGATGTTTGAGAAAAGCACCAACCTAACCATCCAAGAACAAGTAAATAATGATACTAACAGACAGACTAGGAACGACACCTTGATAAACAGCACATCAAGTTATTAGGCCATCTTGTTAGAACGCAACAACATCAAATACAATCAGAGGCACACAGGCGATCAGCTACAAAATCAACAGAACAACCTTAAAAAAAATATGGTAACACCTTTATGACATGACAAGAGCCAGTGGCAGCCAGTGTGAATTGGATCGTACATTGTTCCTCCCCATGATGCTTAGCGACAGAAGTAGTTTTTGATGATGATGATGATTACAATCACTTCATTATAAACTTACCTTGGTATGTCCACTACACCCAGGCTGGACAAGGAGCTGACCTTCCCATAGATTGACAGGAAATTCTGGAACATGACCTGCTTGCACAGGCGGGAGAGATCCTCATTCTCCGTCTTCCCCGTGGTCGGGTTGACCACCTCAAGAGAGTCATCTTCTATGTACCTGTCACACATAAGAACACACACACGTAAGCTCTAGAGGGCTCGAAGACAACTTATGACAAACATCAGGCAATTTCAGAAGAGGTGGGTGGTTTGATCCTAGGGTGTAGGACTTAATGGAAGTGAGGGAGAAGTTTCACTGTTAGAATAAAAGAAGACCGACTTAACTCTTTGATTCCCAGGGGGTTTAGCATCACAGGCCCAAGGGGTAGTCAAGAAAGACGTAAAATCAGCGCATCTTGCGTTCATTGGGTTTCTAGGATGGAGTCCTTAGATGAGCCTAATTTGCTGTTTCTGTGTTGCAATTTGTCCTTGATTTGGGGGGTGACAATCGCAAGAAGGGAACATATGTCTGCAGGCTGACACACTGAATTTGGGTATACAACAGGAGATAGATATCTGTCTGGAAGTCATGATCTGAAGAGACAGAGGTTTTAGCTGCTATGAGAAATCATGCTGTGAAGCTTGGAGGAAAAGCAGAAGGGAGGGGGGAAAAAAAGGATAAGGTAGAAGAGGTAAAGGAGCTGAAGCTGAGGAGGAGACAGAAGTGAAAGATGAGGAGGCAGAGAGAGAAGAAGATGAAGGAGAAAAAGCAGAAGGATGATAATGATCAGCTAGGTTTGGATCAGCTAGGTGTCCCACTGAAGTCCTGCCTGCCCCAGTTGTGTAAACAGAGTGTGAAATATTTCTCTTGAAAGTGCAGGCTTTAAAACTGATAACATTTCAAGAATCGGAAAACATGTTTAACTGAGAGAAAACATTATCTGCTGAACTTCTGCAAGTGTCTAATTTGATATAATTGGTTCTGTCACGTGCTTTTAACTACCAGAAATTCTCTCCTTTATCTATTTTTTTCTTTCTTTCTTTCAGGTAATTGTTTACTTCCTAAACATGTTTATTCGGGATATTTATTTTCAAATTGTATTTTCCAGGCAAGATAACATCAGAGAAACTCTTTAGCATCACGGTGTGTCTATGGTTGAAGCAGCCAGAAGAGCACGAAGCAGGACCTTATATTTCCCTCGACACCCGAAGCGGGAAATGAGGATGTGAAGAAGAGGAAGATTTTCCAGGCTAGATATGTCAAAGATTTGTTTCTTCTCTATATTCCTCGTTTAAACGTAACAAGATTTGATTTTAAACATTCGGGAAACCTGCTGACAACACTTAATGACAACCTAACCTTTGACCTCACCTGCCACAGAATGAAGAGAATTTCCACCAGTCTTCATGCAATGAAAGACCCTGACACCCCCCCCCCCCCCCCAAGCATCATCCCCTGGACTGCCACCTGCATGACTTACTAGTTGCTGGGAGACATTTTGGGTCACAGTTGTCTTTGTGCACTCAGATCCCTGACACCCCACAGGTATTACCTGCAACAGGATCACCTGGACTTCTAGCTGAGTGGCTTACCAGCCAGAGAAATCTGAGGTCTCGTTCACCTACCTGCCCTATCTCCTGTCACCCTAAAGGAAACACCTGTCACGAAATCACATGGACCTAAAATGGCAGGACCTATCAGCTGATGGACAATTGTGACGTCTTGCCTGCCTTAAACTCTACTCCGCTGACTCCCCACAGGTAACATCTGCCACAGAATCACCTGGACCTCAAAATGGCAGGACTTACCAGTTGATAGAAAATTATGAGGTCTTGCCTACCTACACTTTACTTTCCTGACACCCCACAGGTAACAACTGCCAGAGAATCAGCTGGGCTTCCGTTGTTGGCACCTTTTCATCTTTCTAGATGACAAGTGTGGTGCCGTGCTGCAGGCGGGCATGGGAATCAATGCTCATGGCCATGGCAACTAAAAAAGACCTGCTGCTAATTTTGTGGTGTACTCGTGTTTACAGCCTACTCTATTCTTGCCTAGCTCGAAGCACCCACTGAAGCATCAACTCTGTGGCTGATCAACAAGTTTGAGTCGGGGAGTAGCTGCATTTGACAATGTCTCCCACCGCTAGAGGCAGGCAGCCTGTGGTGTCCAGACAAACTTGTAACTGCTGCCTTTTGATGTGTTTCCATGACTCTCCCATGTTGGTTCTAGGCCCCATTTGGGGGGGGGCCCATTTGAAAGGGGGGGGGGGGATAAAGAACAGACCCAGTGCCCCCTAACAAACATGTAAAAGCCAACTAAACAGAGATGCTCTTTTTGAAGTCAAACTGCATCTGCCTGAAAGCAAGGGAACCAACAATTTGCATATAAATAAGCTAAATCTTCCAAACATGAAGGCTCAAGATCTGGAAGAAGAGCAAAGTCCAAAAGTGAATGAACAACCAGAGCTTTCTGCTGGAGTTTACAGTCTGTCAACAGCTAATAAGTTTCTATGACCAAAATTAGGGCCTCGAATGAAGTTACTCCTCTCCACAACATTTTTTCTTTTTGGCGCTCAGTTTCATGGCGTTCAGGTCAGACCGTCAGATTGGCTGCCTCTATGAACATGCATATCAGGTGAGGTCTTCTATGGTTTCCCAGAGCTTGCTCTGCACATTTTACTCTTAGCACCAGGTTTCTTTCCCTAGTTGTTCTCCACAGCACACAGTCGGGGGGGGGGGGGGGGGGGGGGCTGGGGGAGACTGGGGCTGGTCTCAAGGCATGGTGTCGTCTGCCTCGAGTGCTAGCGGTTCTGGGTTCAATCTCTGGTAAGGGCTTGGATTTTTTCACCTGGACTTGGAGTAATTTCCCCTTGGTCTCTGGGTAGTGAAAGTGGATGCCTGTGTACATTAATGAGCACGTAAATAATCCCTTGGCAGTTGGAAATCGAAAAGAGTAGCCTAACGGCTGTCCAGGAGATCCTGTTGCAGGTGGGGGGGGGGGGGTCTCAGGGATCTGACTGCACAAAGACAACCGTGACCCAAATGTTGATCCGTTGTTCAAAATCTCAACACACAGTCTGGGCAGCACTGCAGCAACCATTTGTGACTTACCAGTTGACTGAGAAATTTGGGGTCTTGCCCGCCTGCCGGCACTCCGGGCTAGAGATGCCACTGAGGAAAGGCTTGTTGAGTCTGAACTTTGGCGAGGGGAACTTCATGTGGCTGACACGGCCGTAGACGCCCCGTACCATGTGCTCACTGTGATACCAGCTGCCTACGATGATGCTGCTCAAATAAACCGGCATGAGGAAGTGGCTCAGCAAGGATCCTGGCAAGGAAGAGAAACCTACATTTTACAATTCTACAAATATTATTCAGAAACATCTTTGTTTGTGTGTTTTTGTATCCAGAAGCCATGAGTTGTTAACCCTTAGGCTCGGTATTATGGATATCGCAATTTTTCGGCCTTGATTCCATGAAAAATACCGAAAATCTGGGACAAATGTGGCTTTTCTGCCTACTCCCATGGGGGAACCCGGACCACAAGGAGTTTGTCACCTGGTCACCACGCAATCCAGTTTAGCCAACTACGCTAGAGAGCCGGGCTTCAGAAACATCTTTAAGTACATAAACTACACCTGTACCTCTACAAAGGATTAAAGTTTATGAATCCATCAACTATTTCTCAATACCTATGCTTGTTTTTGAAATTTTAGGATACAATGCACACGTTGTTTTCCTCCCAAGATGGTGGCTATTACCATGGCAACCATAAAAAAAAAAAAAGTACGCAAATGTATTACCACATATCCCTACAAATTAACATTATAAAATAATTGGTCTAACACTAAATAAAATCACAAATGTGTTGGTGCAGTGACCCCTTAATGGTTCTGCCTTTTAATGGTTCAAAAATCATACAAGGTTATGTTTTTGATGGTGATTCTTGAGATATGGCACACGGCCTGCAAGTGAGGTGACGTATACATTTTGAGATCATGCATCCTTCCCACTGCATCTTACCGATGTGTGTCATGTACTCTCACCCAGTCTTTGAAGAAAAATATCATAGCTTTTGAACTAGGTTCAGGTTACGGGTTAACATTATGGTTAACTAAACTGGCCAGCGGGTGCTACGGAGTTTGAAGTCCAACAGTTGATTCACGACAATTCACGCCCAGGTGATCTGATTACCTATACAGATGGTTCGGTCGTGAGAGGAAAGAGAAGTGCCTGTGGTTCGTAGTGAAAGCCAATGGAAAATCTTTAGTGCAAGTCAGCCTAGATATGACACCACAATGTCTACTATGAGAATGGAGGTGGAGGCAGTAACTGCAGCTCTCCAGTGGCTAGAGAACAAGATGCATACATATGTCGTAATTGTAACAGACTCTGAAAGTATGCTGAAAAATGTGAGTATAGGGATGCTTCGAGCAGAGTAGCAAGCTTCACTGGAAAGGTCGCAGGTGGTGAGCATACTTTGGATCTTTTCTTCAGGCCATGCCGGCGTAGTGGGTAATGAACAGGCAGACAGACTGGCTGGATCCGCACATTTGTGGTCAAGGCCCTTTGGGAACAAGCAACAGAATAAGTAGAGAAACAATATTACTATGGTCTGGAGAGAATCAGGCACCTGGGTGTAAACAGAGGGTCTGGCCGGCTCACTACACTCAGAGGAAAGGCAAGACGGACTTTTAATCAGATTGTGTCCGGTTTTATCAGTATTGGTACTCTGCGCTGGCTGCTGAAGATGAGGACGGAGAATGCATGGGAATGGCCCGAGTGCTGTGAAGTCAATTTTTGACTCAACTAAACTCAACTAATTAACTAAACTCATAAATATAAAGAAAATAATAACAATATTCACCGAACAGTTTCAGTCATCACATTACAGACAACTTAACCCAACTTTGCCTGACAAGCGTGCCGCGGCGAAAACAGTCTGAGAACCGCTGCCCTACATCACGTCATGATGTCGGTTTCACACACGAACTCAGACATAACACTCACACTTCTTGCCTCAATAATCCCCTTACAATTCTCCACTTGCCATACATCAGTGTAAACAATATTTATCTATCTCTCACTCCCTCTCTCTTACTTACACACACATATACACACACAAAAAATATATATATATATTATCAAATTCACATACCACAAACACACACATATACACACACCTACACAATAATTTGGCATCTGCTGACTTCTTTCCTCAGAAATATATACAACTGTTTACCAGAGCTGTTTACCAGAGCTGTGTCCTTGTTAACTCCCCCCACTTTGCCATCTGCTGACTTCTCTGTGTTGCCTTTTACTCACTATAACTTTCCACCTACCCTAAGTCTGCTACTAATCTCTCCCTCCCCCATAAACACACTCACGTTCACAGAGAGGTACACGCACTACAGAGAGGTACGCTCACTACACAAAGGTACACGCACTACACAGAGGTACACTCACTACACAGAGACACACACACTACACAGAGGTACACTCACATACACAGAGGTACACGCACTACACAGAGGTACACGCACTACACAGAGGTACACGCACTACACAGAGGTACACTCACTACACAGAGGTACACTCACTACACAGAGGTACACTCACTACACAGAGGTACACTCACTACACAGAGGTACACTCGCACAACACAGAGGTACACTCGCACAACACAGAGGTACACTCACAACACAGAGGTACACTCACTACACAGAGGTACACTCACTACACAGAGGTACACTCACATACACAGAGGTACATACACTACACAGAGGTACATACACTACACAGAGGTACACTCACTACACAGAGGTACACTCACAAACACAGAGGTACATACACTACACAGAGGTACATACACTACACAGAGGTACGTTCACATACATAGAGGTACACTCACATACACATGTGTATGTACCTCTGTGTATGTGAGTGTACCTCTGTGTAGTGTTTGTACCTCTGTGTATGTGAGTGTTCCTCTGTGTAGTGTTTGTACCTCTGTGTAGTGTTTGTACCTCTGTGTATGTGAGTGTACCTCTGTGTAGGGAGTGTACCTCTGTGTATGTGAGTGTACCTCTGTGTATGTGAGTGTACCTCTGTGTAGTGAGTGTACCTCTGTGTATGTGAGTGTACCTCTGTGTATGTGAGTGTAACTCTGTGTATGTGAGTGTGTCTCTGTGTAGTGAGTGTGTCTCTGTGTAGTGTATGTACCTCTGTGTATGTGAGTGTGTCTCTGTGTAGTGTATGTACCTCTGTGTATGTGAGTGTACCTCTGTGTAGTGTATGTACCTCTGTGTATGTGAGTGTACCTCTGTGTAGTGAGTGTACCTCTGTGTAGTGAGTGTACCTCTGTGTATGTGAGTGTACCTCTGTGTATGTGAGTGTACCTCTGTGTATGTGAGTGTACCTCTGTGTAGAGAGTGTACCTCTGTGTAGTGTATGTACCTCTGTGTAGTGTATGTACCTCTGTGTAGTGTATGTACCTCTGTGTATGTGAGGTACACACATACAGAGGTACACTCACTACACAGAGGTACACTCACATACACAGAGGTACACTCACATACACAGAGGTACACTCACATACACAGAGGTACACTCACATACACAGAGGTACACTCACATACACAGTGACACACACACATACACAGAGACACACATACACAGAGGTACACTCACACAGAGACACTCACATACACAGAGACACACTCACATACACAGAGACACACTCACTACACAGTTACACTCACTACACAGAGACACACTCACATACACAGAGACACACTCACATACACAGAGGTACACTCACATACACAGAGGTACACTCACATACACAGAGGTACACTCACATACACAGAGGTACACTCATATACACAGAGGTACACTCATATACACAGAGACACACTCATATACACAGAGGTACACTCACTACACAGAGGTACACTCACTACACAGAGGTACACTCACATACACAGAGACACACTCACATACACAGAGGTACACTCACATACACAGAGGTGCACTCACATACACAGAGGTGCACTCACTACACAGAGGTACATTCACTACACAGAGGTACACTCATATACACAGAGGTACACTCACATACACAGAGACACACTCACATACACAGAGACACACTCACATACACAGAGGTACACTCACATACACAGAGGTACACTCATATACACTGAGGTACACTCACATACACTGAGGTACACTCACATACACTGAGACACACTCACTACACAGAGGTACACTCACATACACAGAGGTACACTCACATACACAGAGACACACTCACATACACAGAGGTACACTCACATACACAGAGGTACACTCATATACACTGAGGTACACTCATATACACTGAGGTACACTCATATACACTGAGGTACACTCACATACACAGAGACACACTCATATACACAGAGGTACACTCACTACACAGAGGTACACTCACTACACAGAGGTACACTCACATACACAGAGGTACACTCACTACACAGAGGTACACTCACATACACAGAGGTGCACTCACATACACAGAGGTACACTCACATACACAGAGGTACACTCACATACACAGAGGCACGCTCACTACACAGAGGTACACTCACATACACAGAGGTACACTCACATACACAGAGGTACACTCACATACACAGAGACACACTCACTACACAGAGGCACACTCACATACACAGAGGTACACTCACATACACAGAGGTACACTCACATACACAGAGGTACACTCACATACACAGAGGCACACTCACTACACAGAGACACACTCACATACACAGAGACACACTCACATACACAGAGACACACTCACATACACAGAGACACACTCACATATACAGAGGTACAATCACATACACAGAGGCACACTCACATACACAGAGGCACACTCACATACACAGAGGTACACTCACCTACACAGAGGTACACTCACCTACACAGAGGCACACTCACATACACAGAGGCACACTCACATACACAGAGGCACACTCACATACACAGAGGCACACTCACATACACAGAGGCACACTCACATACACAGAGGCACACTCACATACACAGAGGTACACTCACTACACAGAGACACACTCACATACACAGAGACACACTCACATACACAGAGACACACTCACATACACAGAGACACACTCACTACACAGAGACACACTCACTACACAGAGACACACTCACTACACAGAGGTACACTCACATACACAGAGACACACTCACTACACAGAGACACACTCACATACACAGAGGTACACTCACATACACAGAGACACACTCACATAC